ATTTGATATCAAATTCTCACTCGTTCGAATAAACCGATCAATGATGAAGGGTCACCTGGCCAGCACAGACGTACATACAATGCACGCGTAATGATAAATTCAGGCGACTCCTCTCCGAATACTGATCGCGACTCGGTGGAGCTCGAAATCATTTGGCGCGAATTATCTTGGCGTGCAAATAAGAAGAAAAGAAAACACGATTATCGAACAGATAGGTGTTCTCGTTTTAGCGTTTTGTAACGGACCGCGTTCAACCTGTTTGTACGATGACATTTCGAAAAATCTGCTCTACATCTTTACAAATCAGAACCTTTCTGTTGAACGAAGACCTAGTAGGCCACGTCGATTCTCACGCGACAATGACTTCTCGCTCCGATCCCGATCGTTTACGCTCGAACGTCGATCGCGATTCGCATAATCGATTCACTAAGCGTTGCTGCGCTCCCGTTGCCAAGGTCGACGACCGCATTTACGAAGCCGGAGGGAATTTTCAATCTGCATCTCAGTCGAATTTACGCCGGCTCGGACGTGCTCGCCAGATACGGGGAGAAGTGCAAGCGTACCGCTGCGGCATGCAACCGAAACGATGAGCGCTCTGCTCTCTTATCGCGAATAAACACGTTTCTATCGCCGCGTATTTTTTCCATCTCATGCAAACCGTATTATTTCGAACTGGCTCCATACAGGTGACGCCGAACGGCGACATCACGAACGGTGACTCAGTTCCCTCGCCTCGGATAAGAACGAAATCCTATCTCCGTGATACCATCGGGTACAAAGTATCTTCTCGAATTGAGGATAAAAACGATGGACCAATACGTAGATTACGTGGTCATGTGGCGCTGAAACGAGTCTGCTCTCTGTTTTGGATAATAAATGTTCCTTGATAATTGGCTCGTAAAGAGTTTAAGCGTAACACAGCTTCGACAACTCGCTGCGTAATAACATCGCGGATCCGGCTCGCTGTGTCGTTCTCTTTTCGCCGTTTAGCGTCTTGATATAATTATTTACAACGAGTCATTGTACTCCCTCCCGCTACAGTTCGCGCAATCAATTACCAGGGTGGTTTTGCTTCTTGCTCGCTGTTAGTAAATGCGTTTCGCTGTTACAGCGAAATATAATATGCCATCATTTAATGTTATCGCCTCTGCTGGCTGATGTGTACCTGCGAGGTATGCGAATGTCCGCGCGCACGGTGGCTTGCGACGTGTAATTTATCATAATATTATTCCCGAATTATTTATGCGCGTCATATCTACGTGCTACGACCAGCGCGATACGGGCCCAAACGGGAATCGCGCTTCTCGTCGACATTTCGAAATCGCGGAATGTATCGTGTGTAATTCTCTCGAATTGTAAATTCCAAAAATACACGCGGGATCGTAACCGACTCCGATAAACGACTGACCGAGCGGCACACGATACTATTTTTCCTACTGGATTGCTTACGAGAACTAATAAAGACGCATAATTTTAAGCCGACGGCACACGGTACTATTTCTTTTCTACTGGATTGCTTACGAGAACCAATCAGGATTTAGCTTTAAGTCACGTAATCTAAGACTAACGGCACACGGTACTATTTTTCCTACTGGATTACTTACGAGAGCCAATTAGGATGCGGAGTTTTAGATCAGGTGACTTGAAGCTAAACCCTGATTGGCTCTCGTAAGCAATCCAGTAGGAAAAATAGTATCGTGTGCCGTTGGCTTAAAACTCTGCGTCTTTATTGGTTCTCGTAAGCTATTCAGTAGGAAAGCCAGTATCGTGTGCCGCTGGCTTTACTTGCCTGGCTGCTCACCTTGCCCACATAATTCATTTTCGCAATGAGAAACACTTGCGTCACGAGAGTTTTAATCTTTCCTACGCTAATTGTTTGCGTGTGTCACACGGTCGTTTCCATCTTTATCGATAGCCTCCTCCTCGCGGGAAGTGTCCCCCTTTATCGGTTTTAAAGACGAACGTTCTATCCCGAATCCTCGTTCGCGGCCGCTGGCGCCTTTCGTTAAATTATCGTCGCTAGGTTCGAGCCTGCAATCGAAATCTCGATCGAGGAAAAGAATTACACTGTTATTTCTGTCCGTCTTCCGTCCTGCGCGCTTACCGCGGACACTGGCGGCCGTGGACAGACAAAGTGCGCTGAAAACAGTTTATTTTCGTACTATTTTTGCACGGCATGTAAGTTACATGCCACCATCGCCATGGTCACGGCGTTAATCTATTTTTGCAGGCGTTTTATAAGCAACAGCCGCGCGCGCCACCGTGGCTCATAGCGCGCCTTTGAGAGTACCAATTGCGCTCCCTCCTATAGCGACAGGTATCGACACGACCGAAAAATGCATTCGAAAAATATTTGTTCTCGCTTGAATTGCAAACATTCGCGTGGTCGTTTCGCCAGAGGATCAGTCGCCGTTTGCACGTCAGAAATGAGAGGAGAGTATTTTCGCGCCAACGGCGAAGGAGTTGAGAAAAAAGAGATTCGCGCGATAGGTCTTACGACCTACTTTCGGAGAGAACGAAGGCGGAAGAGACCAGGGGCGGAAGGAAGCCAACGGCGACGTCGGTCGTGCACGGTAAATGTCGCCTCTGCATGTGTGTGTGTGTGTGTCCCCTTCCCCCGAGATTAATTGTGCCACCGCTCGCGTAATCGAGCGGCGGCTAAAATTAAGGGCTAATTTAATGTAAGACGCTAAAGGCCTGGCCGAGCATGCGGACGTATATACGGTCGGGGCCGACGTGCGTCACCGTGAGATTATTATTAGCGATCGATTGGGGGACGGATCGGAGATGAGGATTTATCGTGAGTCACCCCGTTTCGAGAGCCCGCGTCCTCGAAATCCTGGGAACCACCCTCTCGGCTTGGAGTACTTGACACGGCGATTGGGCTGATCCTTCGGAAAGGATTGCTCTGTATTGACGGAGGGTTGCGCGGTTGCGAGAAGAAATTTACTACGATCGACGCTAAAGTCGCTCTCTGGACCTCGGGCCTCCGTTTACTCCGCAAAGTCCGCCCCCGCTTCCCTCTAAGTGGGCCATGCCCCGCAAAATTGATTTGAACTGCGGAACCGAGGGGGAAATCGCTGACCAAAATCTTGTACACCAATGTCTACTAATGCCCAGTGGGCATTGCTTCATCTTATTGTCTTATTTTATCTTATTTATCTCGTTTTAGCTTATTTTATCTTATTTTATTTTTATAATGCCCCAGCAAGACCTAATGTCCAAAAAATGTCTAGTAATGCCTAGTAATGCCGCAAATATGTACACCACAATGCCCTCGGCGGTTTATCCCTCGTGCGGAACTTTCTATTCCGCGTGACGGGACGGCTTTCCCTTTTGTGTCGCGCCATGAAAATTATTCATCCGCTCGCGCCGGGACATTCGAATTTGACGTGATCTGTAAAAAGCTTCGGATGTAAAGTCATGATCCACTGAGCAGCTCGCTCGTCCAGGTCGCGACCATCATTTGTCTCTTCGCGAAAGAACCTCCCGGAAAGAATCCCCGTCCAGTTTTCACTCGCGGTATCGAACGGAGAATTCGGAGCGCTACGTCGTTACCCTCGGCCAAGTTTTCACGACCTCATCCGATTTGGGGCCTGAGCAGAAAGACTGCCGTAACCGTTTACGATTCCGTCGTAAGACGTGAATCGGTGTCGCAAGTCAACGCACAAAGAATTGTAGACGTATGTCGTATCGTGATGGATACACTTCTTTGTGCGTTGACTTTCGACGCCGACTTACGTCTTACGACGGAGTTTGCAATCTTTCTGCTCAGGCCCTTACGCTCGCGGCGTAAACTTCGCCCGCGCGACCTGACACTCGGGGAAGCCGCTCTTCCTCTCCCGAGGTGCGGACAGGCGAGGAGAAGCGGCGCGACAAAAAAAGAAAATCGATACGTCTATTAGAGGAGCGTTTGGTTTTTCGATGGCCGAGGGAGGGAGCGACATGGCCGCGGCCGAGGAAGGCACTCCGGATCTCGATTTCACGATCCGCTAAGTGTCTCAGGCTCGTAACCGTTATGCGGGATGCGGCTTTAAAATAGGATCGATACGCAACGTCCGGTTTCGCGGGGCGCCCCGCGCCGTTTCGAATCGCCCGCAAGCGACGGGGACGGTTCTCGCGCCGGCGATTCGCGGTTCCCGCTCGGCTGTTACGCTCCAACGTCAAGCGTACTGTCAACGAGCTAGATTTTGCGCCACGTACATTGTCCCTCGGGACCGAGCGAGTCTCTAAAAATTCTTACGCGACGCTTCGTTCACCGGAGCGATGGGTCTTATCAACGATCAGCGAGACGGCGTTCTGTTCGGAATAATGAGCGAAACGCTATACATTGTCGCGAGCTGCCTCGATATTCTCGACGCGTGAAACGACACGAATCTAAATGGTTCATTAATAGTCGACACCAAGGAACCATCCCTTTTCCGAGGAGAGAATTTTCCGAGGGGGAAACCGCTGACCAAATGCTTGGGCATTACTTTATCTTATTCTATCTTATTTATCTTATTTATCTTTATAATGCCCCAGTAAGGCTTAATGCCTAAAAATGCCTAGTAATGCCCAGTAATACCGCAAATCTGTACACCACAATACCCTCAGCGGTTTACCCCTCGGAAATTTCTTTTATCCTGAAAATTATGTAATCGTGGGTCAACGCGGCGTTTCGAAGAATATTTTATGAAAGTTTTCTGAAATTTTGCCGTACATTTCACTAGTGATTATACATTTACTGGTAAAATGTATGGTAAAATTACAAAAAACTGTCATAAAGTTCTTCAAAATGCCACGTAGTCCCGCGATCGCGTGATTTTCGGGATAAATTTTAAGAGAAAATTCCCTCCGTGCACACGACTCTTTCGACTTTTAGCCCCAAACAGTCTTCATTATTAATTTCTTTTCGGAGCACGGGGCGAGACGAGACGTGACATCTACTCCGTTGATCGCGGAAATCGAATGATTCGTTCTAAATATGTAATAAAACTGCTGCTTTACGTTGAACTTACGGATCATCACCGCTAGTATAACCGTCGCGATCGTAGTCCTCGCCATGGTCCTCATAGTCTCGATGGGGCGGCCAACAAAGGCTGGGACAGGGTGTGAAAGAATAAAGGTGACGGTCTCGTAGAGAGAGAAAGAGAAATATGTAGAAAGAGAGAGAGAGAGAGAGAGAGATACACAGCGCGGAACGACGCGGCCTCTCTACGGCTCTCGACTAGAACCGCCCGGTCAACTCGGCAGCTTCGAAACGACTGACTGTCTCCACAGGAGTGGAGCGAAGCGGTCGGCCGATCGTCGAAATCCGGGCGCACGTAATGGCACGTACGTAGAGGCCGTCGGTCATATTTCGCGGCGCCGCAACGCCGCGCCGGTATACACGTGCTCTCCTCCTCGCAGCGGCGCGTCTCGTCGGAGCAGGGAGAGCCCCCCCGTTCTCGGAGCGCGAATCGCAGATGGGGTGCGACGACTCGAGGGGAAGATCGGTCGGAAGGGCGTGGATCGAATCGAAAATCGTCTCGAGGGTCAACGTAGAAACCGTTTCATTGCCGCGGCTCTTATCGCAGTTGCCTCGACACCGCGCGGGATTTCCGCGTGGGAAGTTCGCTGATGGATCGTCGCTGACCAGGAAGAGGAGACACGCCATCGCGGAAATATCGGGCCTACGGATAGGCAGATCGCTCGACGCACAGGGGTGACGTCGTTGCAAACGGAATACCTGCGTCCGGGGGTTGAAAGCGTTTTACCGCGTGTACCAAAAGACAAAAAGAGATCCGGTTTTTTCGACCACCTTTTCGCCGCCCGTTAAATTGTACGTTGGAACTAACGGTTTTGTCCCTATATTCGGGTTAGAAAATCATGCGAATAATGTGGTACGCATGCTTGTGCCACATTGTGAAAAGAAGGTGTCCAAGAGCTGTCCACGAATCACCTGTACAATTGCAATTTATAAACTCTTTAACATATGATAACATGGCGCAGTCTGAATAATTGTATGTATCTACGACGGTCCATTTGAAAAGTTCTTGGAATGAAATGGCACTCGCACAATAAACGTCATACATTAAATAGAAAGTTGCAGCCCTTCTGTGTAAAGTTCCAACTCATTCCACCAAGTGGCTCATTATTTTAGATCTTTGAACGAACATATTCGCGTGATTTTTGACAAATAAATATTTAAAAATGATTTTCGAATAAAATCAAAGTGCGTATTTTGAAGAGAAGGGCTTATTTTGCGCGTTAGTATGAATATCCTTTCCCGAGAAGCCTTTCTTCACAAAATCGAATTAGGTCGTAGCACGCGGAAGATTTATAAAAAATGAATTATTTAACAGAACGAATTGGAACGTTTCACATATTCATAGAAGGGTCGGAACGTTCCACTCAACACATAACGTCTGTTGTGTTCGCATTTTATTCCGACGTTTCAAATGGTCCTCGCATCTTATTTGCGATTATTATCTAATAGTCATTCCGATCATTGTTGTTATTACAAAGAGCTGCTGCGATCGCGTACAAAATGATTCGTATGCGTACAATATTTTTGTGGCCATTTTGAAACCACGAGAAATCGTTGAAACAATAAAAACTTTAATCCTTCTCTTCGCGAGATAAGAATGATTCAATTAATTCAGTGGCGCATTAAAGGCGACGCTCTCGCGCAATTTAATCGATTGACACGGTTTGGATGGGGTTTCTGAAAGGACAGGACCGACAATTTGCGCGGCATAAACACACTGAAACGAGTTGCTATTGCGTTGTTTTGCGGGATAACGTGCAGTTCTGTGCGAACACACGCGTGATGAATAATAAAAGGGTCCTCGGCTTGATCCTAGGCGTATATTTTCCTGTTAAGGAAAAGTTCGGGACTGTACCCGGCATCTGTTCGATACAGGATCCCCTCGTACGAATCGTAAAGGCAGGACCGGGGTCCTTTTCGAGTCTCCCCGCATACCATAGCGTAGTGGGGTGAAACATCTGCCGAGGGTTAACGACCTCTGGGTTAGAGCGTTTTGAGCGAATCTGCTGAAACTTTCCTAATTCGTGGACCTGATAGTTCTATATTTTTCTCTTACGACAAGAAACTTCTTACACCTAGAAAAAAAAGATTTATTTAGATTAAATCAATGAGATACATTGAAATCAGGTTTTTTTGAATCTATTGAAGTTTTACTTACTTACACTAAAACATTTCCTAGATTTGAAGAAACAGATAAGAATGCTCTTAGACGTTCCGGTCTCGATCAAATAAAATATCGGTCAAGGTAAAGAATTTCTTTGAAATTAAGTAAAAGTCTAGCAAGGGTGTTCTCTCTCTCTCTCTCTCTCTCTCTCTCTCTCTCTCTCTCTCTCTCTCTCTCTCTCTCTCT